GCTATAAATGCTAGTTTAAATCTATAAATATTACTAAGAAATACGTTTTAAACTTTCAAAAACCTTGTAGTTAAAATTATGAAATACTATAATTATATGTGAATACAATTATTCACTTGGAATATTATTTACTTACGAAAAAAATTATCCATCAGAATAAGAAAAGAAACATTATTAATAAGTGGTTTTAGCTAAAAAAAAAAAGCAAAATTTGATTCGCGATAATTATATATAAATTGTACCACTTACGTACTTATATAACATTAATAATACAATGTTAAATATGGGATATCATAAAGTTATTTAACGGAATGTTTTACATAAATAATAAGATAATTATGCTGTAATATTTCTAAGCTCTTCACTCTAAAGACTCTGGTTTATTATGTATTTCGCAGTATTAAATCAATTTCGTAGATGGGAGTATTTTGATAAATATTTTTCTTATATGAATTTTCATTAATATGCGCTCTTATAGACTTTATGTAGAATAATATGTATACGATTACTATGAAAAACAAATGTTAAATAAATTACGTTTACAGATATAAATGAAAATAATGACTTAAACATAGCGTGTATGATTCATTTTCACATTCTTTATCACGAAGATAAGAATGAATAATTCTTTTGCAATAAGTAATCATCTCGATATTTTCAATATTTGTGAAATTCCAAAAAAAAAAAAAAAAAAAAAAAAAAAAAAAAAAAAAACAAAAACAAAAACAAAAAACAAACGAGAATACAATGAAAAATATGTTTTTAATGTCAAAGAATCAAATTAACAATGAACATTATCATGTACGGAAAAACAGTAAAAAAAAAAAAAATGATCTGATTATGATATTTTTGTACGCCATTAATGTGCGATTGAAGCAAAACTTTTACTCTATTCCATTTAAATTGGCATTTTACCTTCCACAACATATTTCATTAGTTTTTCTATTAGGAGTTATTGAAATTGTTACAATTCGTTTATTAGAGTATAAAATTTAATAAATATTTCACAAAAATTTTCCACTCGAATAAATTTAAGAAATTCTATTATCTGACTGTGATATATAAATATAAATACTGGATTCAGTAAATAAAAGCTATTACAAAAATGACAAAACATCATTTTCATATTTGAAACATTGAGGCAATATTTACCCAATTCATTTTAATGCTTAAATTGAAAATACAATTCTACTTATTTGTATTGTGCTATTTGAAAACTTGGAATAATGAGCCATTACCCATAGGTGTGTAAAAAAAGTCTAAAATCAATTTTTAAGAATATTCTAAGCTTCGTTAGATTTAACAATGTATTATAAATTTTGTTATAGACAATATAAAGAGAATAAATTAAACGACGGTGCAATAAATTTCAGCGACTACACTAATGCTGATAATTATGCAATCTATGAAGGAAGCGGTACTTCAACTAATACATCGACAAGGCGTGTGCACCTGTCGGCGCAATCGCTTCTTCGGAATTCCAGTTTCTCGCGTTAACTTAATTGACAGAGCTTTCGACTGTCCAAAATGTCAGCGTTCCCGTTTCACCTTAAGCAGCCTAACTACAAGATAAGCCTTCCAGATATTTGACTGTTGTCGAAGGAATTAGTATCGCATGTTCAGCAATACTCGTCCGCATTTATAAATGTAATAACTATTCGGGAAAGGCTTGTAAAAATTTGATAAATTATACGAGATACATTCGATCCTCGGCTTTGATACTTAATATAATTTCATGCATAATATTCGATAAAATCTTACATAATTTACATTCGGACGGAAATTCAGAGTAAAGTACAAATTACAACTCCCTGTTTAATATGATTATATTATAAATTTTCTTTTAAACAATATAAATTATGTGGACTTTGATACAAGATAAGCAGCAACATTCATGCATGCAATGTGCAATATAAACTGATGGAAATATATAAATTTTATTAAAAAAAAAATATATACATATTATTATCATTATTGCAATTATTAAATACTCCTAGATCGATATAATTTATATAATGAAAATAATATGCAAACATGTGCTTTCTTTAAAATACAAGAAAATTCCATATAAAATAGTAACATATTTATTTATTGTACGAATCACACTTTTTTTACCATTTCAATTGTTGAATAGAGAATAATGTAAACGAGCATTTGATTTGGTTGTTCAACTGATATTTAATTGGAAAAAATAAATATGTTGGAATACTTAGTTACACGTTAAATAGTTTATTATCGAAATTAGCGATCGTCATAAGCGGCTTCTACTGTTACTGCGACATTATTTCAAAATGACAATAATAATACGAAAATGGAAATATATGGAAATTAATAAATAAACGAAATTCAAATATACAATATCTCCTACTTGTCTCGTCACATTGATGTGTAAATGAATATTTATGGTTAACTAGTAACTCAATTGTACTTAATTAAGAAAAGTCGGCGAAATCGTTAGTTCGTAGAATAGCAAATTTTTTACCTTTTTACTATTAGGTGTCGAGGGACATGGAAATTTATACGGAAATATAATAATAGAATGCTACTGAAATGCTAAAGAATATCGTAATGTTAATGGAGAAATACTGAAATGGACTTTCTTCACCCAAATGGTCAATTCATCAAAAAGACCGAATGAAAAACAGGAAAAGATAAATAGAGAATGAAGTCGAATTGTGCTTTTAAAATATCTGCTAGAATAAAAATAAAGAGATTCGATCCATTCGTATTATCTTGAATAATTTTTTACTGAAACTTGTCCTATTCATCAAATACTTATGCATACGTCTGTATTGTCACAGACAACATTATTTCGTGGGTATCAACTTTGTTTTTTCCTGTATAATATACACTATATTACGTGTAAAATGTACAATTGATGATTACGAGCTTTATATTTATCATAATATGTTTAAATAATTTACAATTATTAACTATCACTGAAAATATGATCAACCTTATTTCAGATTGAATTTTATACTTATTTTCATCTTTATTATTTCAAATTGTTTTCATTAAAAAAAGTCATGTACAATATGCTCGTATCAAAGGAATAATTAATTAGAAAGAAATAATTAACTTTTGATCGTTAAAAAAAAAAACCATTGAAAAGAGAAAATAAGAAGGGATTCTAGTAATTGTGTGGTAATTGTTTCGAATAATAAGTTGAATGCTACGAATTGCCTACGAAATATATGCATTTTCCCAATGTGTGAGAAAAAAGTCTAAAAATTCTGTTTTTCTAGTATAAAATAAATATAGTTAAAAATGAAAAAAAAAGAAAAAAAAAAAAAAAGATACAAACGCTTATCTAACCATTGTGTGAATAACACAGTCGGGCCCCTAAATTAATTCCCTGATAAAAGATACGAAATAATTATTTAAGTAATAATTATCAAATTGATTATATTTTCATACTTATTATGAACATACAACGGAGTATTTAAATTTTCCAATCCTTCATACGCTAGTTAAAATTATATATAATTTTTTTTTTCTTTAAAGATAACACACTATATATAAAAATATTTGCTTTAAAAAATTACGTTTATAATCACTTTCGAAAGCGTGCATTGAATTTTAATAAAATGTTCTACGTAAGCGCGCCTACAGTCGTTGAATTTAAATATGAGATTGGCACTTGAGCACTCGTAATGGCGATTTCGATATAAAGTAGAAAAATAAAATTAAATTTGTCCAATTGGAAAATACAATGATGCTAGATAATAACAATGAAAAGTAATGCTTGCAAATATATACCTACTTTCCCGGTACATCATCATTAAGTATTAAAATTTTAATGCAATTATTAATTCGAGAATACCATTGTGCCCATCGTCATTGTTTCCTATTAATTATATTTTATTAGGACGAGGCTCTATCGAATACCATGGAATTCCTACTCCTTGTAAAAAGTAAAAAATGTCGCTATTTACAGAAACCAAGTGAAACTGATTATTATCATTATTCAATAATAGCCCAACGTCAGACTCATAATAACTTAGAACCCCAAATGGCTGATTGATCAACTAGGTAATTATAATTGAAAAACAAGAGGATTCGAAAAAGATGTTGCCCTTGCCCATTTATATGACTATATATATTATTAAGTCAGCTGTATGATTATTTTCACTGGCAATGACATAAAAAGTCCCACTCGTTTACGCAATAACTTAATTGCTTTTGTAAAACGCTCATGTTAACCGGGTAATTTTCATGAAATGGCGAAATGAAATCGACCGCGGCATTCGTCGGATTATAAGCTTCGAGCGACATTTCCAAGTCACATATTTTCTTCACCTTTGCATTTCACAACGCACGCATCTAAGCAATTTTCGCAAAAATTAAAGTGTTTGCGTATAAAAAGCCGCTATTTGCATTCGCGTGCTCGCATTAGAATAAGAAAAATGCCGGGATGCCAGATAAGCGTCGGCATGAGCGTGCGTGCAATATGTACGCGCATCGTGGAGCGAGAGAGAGAGAGAGAGAGAGAGAGAGAAAGGATTTTCGTACGCGCCGTCGTATATTATATTATTCCACGTTACGGGGGAGGGGGGACAATAGAAGTTGGCGGGGGAGTGTTTAAGGTCGTCGACCAATGGTCAGCGTTTCTCGTTATCAAACCAGCGGCAGTCGCCCGAGTACATATAATATCGCTCGGTGATGTCCGGTCGCGGTCAAGTTACGCCGGTCTAGCTGTCCGTTTATCTAACTCCCCGAGTCTCTGTCTCCTTCCTTGGCGCGCGCGCGCGCGATCTAACCAACACGCTCCCGTCTTCCCGCTGCGTGTGCGCTGCCCGTCACTCGCTTTTCTGCTCTCCGTACCCTATCTTCTCTCTCTCTCTCTCTCTCTCTCTCTCTCTGTCGCTAACGCGGGTGCGCGTGCCCTCCCCTCATCCATCGCCTCTC